CCCTACCTTCCACTGTCTCTTCGGGACAGCTTAGGTCCAAAAAGGAACCGTCCAGATGCTTCGGAATAGAAGGAGATTCAGGGACAGCCTGAAAGTCCGTCTTCTCACTGCTAAGCCCTGCCTTCTTCCCCTGGATATTCATTTTTGTTGTGATTATCCTTCCATCCAATGACAACTGTAGATTTCTCAATTTTTCCAAGTCTGTCTTTATTTACCGTGTTTCCCTGAAAATACAACCTGTCCTGAAACTAAGGCCTTGCCACATTTTTCGCGTAGGCAAAAATATAAGGCCCCCCCCCCCTCCAGCCAGGCAGAGCACCACTCACCGACCTAGCGGTATCCCAAAGGTGCCAAGCCATGTGGCGCTCTGCCCACCCCCCAGCTCCCATGGCTTGGCACATTTGGGATACCTCCTAGGTCAGTGCATGTAGCTCTGCCTGGCTGGAGAGGGTGGTTGCGCAAGCGCCTGTTCCGCCCCCATCTGGCATCCCTCCCAGCCTCACCATGCCCTGGCCCAGCTCTCCCTGCAGGGCCAGGGCGCCGCCTCCACCACTTTCGCCACCGCCGCTGCATTCTGAGCATAACTTCTTCTCTGACTTCCAAACTCCGGAACTCGGCTTCCGATTCTTCCAGCAGCAGCCACTCTAGGTGTGCGCTCTATGGTTGTGGGCCCTATGGCAGCCGGTGTAACTGGTTTTTTTTGAGTCCCACTTTCAAAGTCTTTGAAAGGGATAAATTCATTTGCAGAAAGTTAGAATGTTCTCACCCAGCACAGCCACATTGCTCATTGATTTTTCCCTTCCTGTCTCTCACCAAGCTGTCACAGCTTTGGTTCGGCCATGTTGACCATCTTCTCTCCTGTTGGCTCCAAAGAGTTTCCCATCGTTCTAACTGGAGAATGCCTTTCTCCACTTAGTCTTCGGGGCTTCCCCTCTATCTTTGTCAATCCCTCCAAGGTTAACTTTGACCATTGAAGGTCTTCCACTAGGAAAAATCAAGTGGGAATAACAGAGCCTCATTTCCCCAGTCCGCTTCTCTGTGACAATGCTACCGGACGTCTGCATGCAGGCATTCTTTTCGATGTGTATTGCCATTTGTGTCCCTGCTCTCTTGTAATCCCTTTCTCTCCAAACTCTGCAAGCTCTGCAAATCCCTTTCTTTCCAAACTGACTACAACGGGGATCGTGTAGCTGAGGCACAGTGACAAGGTTGAAATGCATGCCCTGGTCATAAAGTTCTTTTTCTGAGCACCATAACATTGAACAGTTGTTGAATGTGGCAGTTACTAAGGGTGGACTACCTTCACTAGTGAGCTGCTTTTTCCTTAGGAGGGGACAGAGCTGTAGGTACAATCCATGCCTGCTCACTAGATTCCTGTCGGGGTGTATCTGAACGTAGCAACAAACAGTATAGAGCCACTTTAGCATTAAGGCGCTGGCCTAGAAACCAGGAAATGGTGAGTTCTAGTCCCACCTTAGTCATGAAAGCCGGTTGGGTGACTTTGGACCAATTAACAGGAGACAGGGAGTTCTAGTGCTACCTTAGGCGTGAAAGCCAGCTTGGTGACTTTGAGCCTACCACCAGGAGACAGGGAGTTCTAGTCCTGCCTTATGCACGAAACCTGGCTGGCTGACATTGGGTCAATCACATGGCAACAGTGAGTTCTAGTTCCACCTTAGGAGTGAAAGCCAGTGGGGTGACTTTGGGTCAATCACCAGGAGACGGTGAGTTCTAGTCCTACCTTAGGTAGGCTTGGTCCCGCTTTTTCCAACCCCATCGCCACTTCAGTTGCTATATGAGCAGTCATAAGTCAAGGACGACCTGCAAAAAATAAATTGAATAAAAGTAATTTTTAAAAAATTATGCTCTGCGTCTCTTCTGCCATCAGGCCTCCAAGATCCATCAAATGGGGTTGATCAACCTCCTGAAGAGTCTTTATATTTTGGGGGTCAAACCCCAGCAGAAGTAGCTTTGTTCGGTGGAGCAGGAGCTGCGCTGGCACCTGCGCAGACTCTCCTACTGGCGCCTGGCATCCTTGACCACCTACCTGGCCACCTACATACCCAAGGAGAAACCCCACAACGTGCTAACTGAGCTTTTTGCCCAGCTGGAGATGCGTTGGGCCAAGATCGAAGATGCCAGCACCATTGCCATGCTGATGGCCAAACAGGGATACCTCTTGCCACAATTCCAGGAGCAGCTGGAAGATAAGGTAAAGCGGTTTCATCCGGGGCTTCCTCGTGAGACATCTGACTCACTTGAGTATGACAGAATCTGATGGCATGAGGGTCCTTGGAGCTCGGGGGTTTTCTGATGGACATTTTGGATCAGTGCTATAAAGAAGTGGGATTTCTGGAAAGGAGGAGGAGGGCTGTGGGGTCCTTGGTGCTGTCGGAGCTTGGGGGCTTTTCTGGCGGATGTTTCATGAGCCAACTAGGTAATGTCATCAGTACTAGAAGGAAGTGGGATTTATGGAAAGGAGGAGGACGACTGTGGGGTATTCGGTGCTCTCGGAGTTTGGGGATTTTCTGATGGACATGTAGCTCCAAGCTCAGGGAGCACCAAGGACCCCACAAGCCTCCTCCTCCTCCTCCTCTTCCATGCAAATTTCCCTTCCTTCTAGCACTGGTGACATTCCTGAGGTAGGTGATGGAACGTCTGCAAGGAAACCACCCAGCTCAGAGACCACTGAGGACCCCACAGTTCTTTATCATCTCCTCCTCCTCCTCCTCCTCCTCCTCCTCCTCCTCCTCCTCTTCTTTCCCTGCAAAACACACTCCCTTCTAGCACTGATAATGTTCCCTAGCTGGGACACGAAATGTACACTAGGAAACTCACCCAGCTCAGAGCTCACGAGAACCCCACCCTCCTCCTCCCCCTCCCCATATCCCCCTCCCTTGTCACACCTTTTGCTTTCCCCCCACCCCTTTCCATCCTCCCTCCCGCTCCATCTCCCTTCATCTTCCCCCACCCCTACCCCTCGGTCCTCTTTCCTCCTGACGCTAAGCCGATCTCTCCCTGCAGTGCCTAGAGCTGGCCGCCCACTTCTCTCCCAAGGACATCTGGAGGGTTGTTGTTGTCTTGGGCCAACAAAACCTCCATTCCTTGCCACTTCTCCGAGCCATCTCCTACCATTTTGTCCAGAAGCATTTTGTTGTCCAACCAGATATCCTCCTGGATTTGATTTTTGCCTTTGGTGAGTGATCTATATCCCCCTTCCCGGGGAAAACTCAATTTCTTGGGAGAATTTGCCGAATGTGGGGTTTCGTCCTTGACTTACGGCCATGAAGTGGGATCATCCAAATTTCCGTGGCCAAGCAAGGAAATTCAAGGTTTGATGATCTGGTTTTGAGCGCATTGTCACGGTGCTGAGCTGTTTCGTTTTTTCTGGGCCCCATTGCAACTTTGGACAGTCACTAAACAGATGGTTGTAAGTCGAGGACTGTTTTCTATTCCCAGTTCTTTAAAAAAAAGAAATGCCCAGGAAGCATTTGGACAACACAGCTAGTTCTCCATTTACAATAATCGCAATTGAAGCCGACCTTTCTGTCATGAAGCAAGACTGTTATTAAGTGAGCTTCGCCCCATGGGACCCCCTTTCTTTTTGACCACTGTTAAGTGAATCACCACCGTCAACTGACGACCAATAATTGAGCCCAAAATTATGGTTGCTAAGTGAAATGTTAGCCGAGTTTTCCCTGGTTGTACGACCTTCCTTGCCGCATTCGTTAAGCGAATTCCTTAGACTCAAACACAGTCATTATGAGAATACGGCTCTTCCCCCCCCATTGACTTTGGTCATCGGAAGGTCGCCAAAGGGGATTGCATGAAAGCCCCCCTTTCCCGGGACACTGTGACCCATCGTAAGTATGAGTCAGTGGCCAAGTGTCTGAATTTTATTCACGCGACAGTTGTGTGAAAAACGGTCACAAAGTCCCTTTTTTTACAGAGGGTCACTAAACGAGGACCATGTTCACTGTGATTTGGGGCATCACCTATGTTCTGAGTTTGGGAAGCAGATGGAAAGCGATGGGTCGTGGAGTTTGGACCTCCATTGGCCGTTGCAAGATGGAAGGACTTAGCAGAAGTGGGTTAGATTGCAGATAGGTGATACAAGCTCTGCGTGCCCCATCCTGGTGTCATCCCACTGTCAAGAGGATTGGGGCCCATGCTCGGTGGGAGCCATAGTCACCTAGACTTGAAGGCTACTTAGTGATAGAGGCAACCTTTTCTGATGTTAGAGACCCATGTAGAGTCAGGAGGCTCTGGGTTGATGTATCTCAGAGGCTTCTTGATCATCCCTGGTTCGAGGACAGAAGATCTGACTCTGCATGGTTCCTCATTCCCTATTGGTCCATCCAGCACCCTCAGTTTGGCCAATATTTTACGAAATGTAAGAAAAAAAATCCAGTTCTCTTACCTTGAAGTGTTGTGTCTGAACCTCACCAGGGATGGAGAGGTTCAACCTTGGACAAATGAGAAGACCTTCTCCCTTGGGGTCTTTCTCCACGTTCATTATGGGTTTTGACCTTTATCTTCTTTCAGCGTCCCACCTGCCTCTCCTCTGAAAGGGAAGCTGAATTTCCACCAGACCCAGATGTTCCAGAAGATCTGCGCGGACCTCCTGCCCCACGTCTCCGAGTTGCCTCCCACTGATGTGGTCCATTGTGTGAAGTCCTTCTCCTACCTCAAATGGTTGAACCTTCATTTCTTTGAGGCCTCTGCCGAGGTGAGCTCCGGGGAAGGGAGGAGAAGACATGGGTGGTGGTAGGGAAGGATCTCCGGATCACATTGGAGCAGTGATCTCCAATGATTCTGATTCTGCCGACTGCCAACAGGATGGAAGAAGGGATAGTTTGCACGGCCCAGTTCTCAAAGGACCAGTCCTGGGCTTGTGGACTCTAGGGTTAAAGGAAGAAAGCAAGTCAACGGAGAGAGAGATCCAGAGATGATCCTTCCAGAATCTTCTTGCTGGATTAAATGGAATTTTGGCTTGTGTTGGTATCGTGGTGGACCTCCAAACCAGTGTTGGCATGCTTTTAAGAGGGGTGGGCTTCAACTCCCAGAATCCCCCAGCTGTCATGCTTTAAGAGGGGTGGGCTTCAACTCCCAGAATCCCCCAGCCGGCATGCTTTAAGAGGGGTGGACTTCCGAGACTTCTGGTTGACGTCGCGGCAGAAACAGACTGGAAATTAGCGGAACTCTGATGAGCCCCACGAAATTCAGCTGGTACCCGCTGCCGGGAGGCCTTTGGGCCATAGCTGTCTTGAAGGACGGTGAAGAAAGGAGAGGCACTTCATGGACGGCGAGGAATTGGCAATTTCCTCACCAGTACAGAAGCAGCTCTTCCGATCGGCAGCAGGAGCGGCGGCCATTTTCCAATGGTCATCTCGAAGCTGGGAAAACCGAACTGAAGAATTGAGCTGGAGTGGTGTTTGGATGGAGTTCTGGAACTGGGTGAGATAACAACCAACTCTCACTTAAAGAACATTTTTGGAAATCGGAAATTGGTGTTTTTAAAGTAATTCCGGAGCTTGGAACAGTGGCTATTAGGCACTCGGGAAAAGAAAAAATATGAGACTATAAAATAGGCCCAAGAAGAATGTGTGTATTTGGGAAGCTGGGGAAAGCCAAAGCATTCTTTTTTTAAAATGATTTTTGGGAGAAAAATATCATTTTTATGTATATTTTAAACTCCCTGGATATTTTGACAATCAGCTGTATTTGTTAGACTACCTTATATGGACTAGAAATTCAGAGTGCCATCTGGGTGGGGGGGAGTACTACAGAACTCAACAGGCTTGATTAGTGACTAAAATAGACAAAATAAGAGAAGTAGCAATTGGGAGATTTGACCTTGCCTATACAGAAGAAGATAATTTGGACAGTGTGAGAAAATTTAAGGAGTGCTTGTGGTTTTTTTTCTTTTTGTTTTGCTCTCTTTGAAGAAAGCTAATTGATAACTTGATTTGTCTATTTCTGGAATTGGGTTACTATTGGATTATATTAACTCAGTAATTTCAAACTACTTTAAACTTGAAACTTTTGAAAAGAAGAGGAATAATTGAAGAAAAGAAGAAAAAAAGGAAATTAAATAGACTTTAAATTTGGATTAACTGTGAAGAGAGATACCGTATTTTTCGGATTATAAAACGGACCTTCCTTGCGACTGTTGTTAAGTGAATTCCTGCCATTGTTAAACTAGTCAGTGAATCTGGCATCCTCGTTAACTTGGTTTGCTGGACGATCGTCAAAGGGGTTCATGTGACCCCAGGACATTGCGACCATCATAAATACGAGTCAAATATGTATTTTCAAATACAGGTTGAAAAATTCAGAACTTTTACACCAAGGTGATTCTTTGTGTTGTCTGTTTTGGAGTTGAGAGTCCTGGGGCTGCTCACATCCTGTGGATGAAGCTAGAATGAAACCTAGTTGTTTAAAAACTGTTCGTTGAGTAAAAATACTTGGTATAGAACCAGTAGAAAGTTATGGTATGGTATGGTCTAGTACTTCATAGTATAGTATAGATTGTATGGTTAGTACAGTACAGTATAGTATTTTATTGTATAGTGTAGTATATCGTAGTATTGTATAGTGTTGTGTATTCTATAGTACAGTATAGTATACTATACTATACTGTTCTGACCCCCTTTCTCCATCCAGGAATGAAAGCCAAAAGCCACATAACTCAAAAAGGTTTCTTTTAATCAGTCCAAGCTCTTGTTGGCTGCAAGCTCAAAGAAACAAAGATAATAGCTCCGGCAGAAAGTCCTATAACTCACACCAAAATGCAAACCTCGGCAGAGCCGAGGTGGCGCAGTGGTTAAATGCAGCACTGTAGGCTACTTCAGCTGACTGCAGTTCT